TTTCTTTGGTATTCGTTCTTTTATATAGATAGCGGAAGTGTTTCCAATTTTTTTTAATATTTCTAAACTTAAAAACCTAACAAAATTTGTTGAAAAAAAATTAAAAAATAGCGATTTTTTTCAAAAAATCTAGCTTTTAAAAGTTTTAAAATAGTTTTTCTATTAAAAATTTAGTTAATTTTTACGAAAAACATTAGTAAAATACTTGATCTGAAGTTGCTAGAATTTATTATTATTATTTTTTGCTTTCTGCAAAAAACTAGGCTTTGCGCCCCCGCCCCCCGCTACTGCAAAAGCACCGATTCGAGCGTCAAAGTGATGGATTTGAGAAAAATTTCATCGAAAACCGAATAAAAATCCATATTTTGTAAGCTAAGTATGCCACAAATTTTATATTTTGTCATAATACGAAGCAATTCTTTTAGTTTTAATAAAATTAAATTTTAAATGCCTTTCAAAACCAGCCCAAACCACCTAAGCGAGGAAAAGACCGTAGTACCAATTGGCCGGTCAAAAATGACAAAAACAACGATACCTAGCGCCGCAGCGCCACAAATTGCATATTTTGGCGGGCTAGCCGGCCGGTTGAAACCGGCAATAAACCGGATTTCGGCATTTCGGAAGTGATTTTAGGACTTGGCGTAATTCTAGGGTATGGGACCGAAATCGGTCACTTTCATTTTTGAAGAGTACCGTAGTTCCGCCCAAAAATTAGCAGGTATTAGTGGGTAGGTATTTTTGGGGCCATTTTTGCGGGTTGGTAATTGTATTGGCCACTTCAAAGCTCGAAAAAATCGAAGTAGAGGTTAGTGAAAATCCATAAAAATATTTTTAAGGATTGAAAGTTGAAAAATCTTAGCCAACCCGCAATTTGTGTTTTCTAAAAAACACCATGTAATTACCGCAACCTTCAAAAAGGTGGGCAAAAAATGGAGACAAAGCCCCTTGCTCGTTAGGATTTAGCTTGAATTTAGACGCTACCGCGATAAGCCAGGTGGCGCAACGGTGCGTAGGCCACAACCGCCCATGGGTTCGGTCCAGATGGTTCAAGGGAAAGGGCGTACTGTACGTGTTTTTCGCGCGTTGCGAGCGGGTGCGCGGAATAGCAACCGGTTTTTAGCTGCGCGGGCCTGCTTTCGCAATTGCGCGACGCGTCTATCGCACGCGTTGCGGTCTTCCAAAGTTACCGGACGTTTTATTAGGAGCCGGGCCGCCGTGAGGCTGAAGGCGATGCAAAGAAACGTAAAGGGAAGTTGAAGCAACGCGACGCCAACGCAAAGTGACGCAACCGCAGCGTACCGTAACCCGACGAAACGGAAAGGGCACCAAAATACCGGCAACTGAAATCCCAGCTCCAAAAATCCCGACAAAAATAAATAATTCCTACAGCCAAAATCACGACAATAATCCCTACGGGCCCTATCCCCGACATGGAAAATAGCTGTTTAAATGAAACGGCATCAACGATAGCGTCAATTTTGGTTGTCGGGATCTTGGCGGATTTTGCCACGTCGGGATTATGGCTGTCGGGATTTTGTCCTGTCGGAATTCTACCTATCGTGGTTTTTGGCTGTCGGTATTTTGGGTGTCGGCATTATGGCCGTCGGGATTATGGTTTTCGAGATCTTGGTTGACGGTATTTTGGCGGGAATTCACAATAACCATAAAAAACATTACTTTGTTTTGCCCATTCCTCCAAAACCAATTTTTGGACTTACCATCTTTCAAAAGGTCGGACAGGTGCGAGGGATCTAGATTAAAAATTCCCGAAACGAGAATAGTTCTGGAATTGGATTTTGCAAAAACAGCCCCGGCGCTACTGGTACAGGTGGAATTCACATAAAACTAGTGGGGATTCCCGGAAAACAGTGGGGAAGTGCTAATTGGTGTATTTACATGGTCAGAGCAGAGGGTGACCTCTCTAGGGAGTTGTGGAATACCGTAATCAGAATATTTTGAAACAGCTTTTTGGCAATAAAATTCAGTGTTTTCTGGCGACGTAGTTGACCCGGAAATTGCGGTTGAAATTGGGATCTAGATGCAAAAAATGGTATTTTTAAAGGGACTCGGAAGTCTTGTTTGGGTGAATGGCACTGGACTGTTAGCGGGGGGGGGATAATTTTTCCTTAGTAAACCTGTGCGGCCCTATAATAAAATATGCACTATTTTGAAAGAATTTTACAAGTTTTTTAGATCTAAAACATATCTAAAATTATACCAAAAATATTTCGAAAGTTTTTGCTTTTTTTATCAAACATGTACGAAAAAAATAACGAAAAATGGTAAAATATTCAAATTTTCGAAATTTTATACCGTTTTATAACTGTCTAACCAACAAAATTTACTAAAAACGGTATAAAAATCTATATTTTTAATATGATAGGCAAAAAATCAACATTAGCTTCGTCAGCCGAACCCCCCCGCTAACACTCCAGTGCCAAAAAACTCCCAGTAATCTCGGAGATAACCAGAAATTGGTGTCTATGCAGTAGATATTTCC